AACCATTCCACATTGAATTAAATCAAACCTCTCTGCCCCTTACTGTTGAGTTTGTGGACCTTGAAGGCATTTGGTCTTATGCCACTAGACTTGGTCGAGATGTTTTTCTGTCCTTTTAATATATTGTTGGGCTAAATTTGCTGGTGTTTTACTCAGGAATTTTGTGGTAAATTTATAAATGAAAGTGGGTATAGTTAAGTCAGTGCAACTAACGAATAAGAGCACATAAACCAAGGAAATAGTAACAATAAAATCAGATGTCACTGTATTAATACTAGACAAACTAGAATTTAAAATTCACTTGAGGGGAAAAGAGGAATAATTCATACTGATAAATAATCTACCAGGTCAGTATAATAATTATGACCTCTATGCATCTTTTAACAAAACTTTAAAATATAAAACAAAAAATGATAAAAATATGAAAATAAGTTGTCAAATCTAGTCAAAACTTAAGTAAGAATATAGAGTATTTGAATATCATTATCTGACAAGCTTCTTTTAAAATGATTGTAGACTGTATGCTCCACAGAAAAACAAATATTCTTTTTAAAATACTTGGTGCATTGACAAAACTTATCCACGCAATTTGACCACAAATGAAATTGCAATTCTTTGCCTCCAAGCAAAATTCATGCAGGACATATTTGTGGATCATGATGCAACAAAATTAGAAATGGATAACTGAAAGCAATCTATACACTAGGAATGTTTTTAAAATTCATATTTTGTTTCTAAGTAGGTTTTGTGTTACAGAAGTAAAAGAACTAAATTTACAAACCAGAGAAAAACAACAGTAAGAGCAACAGATCAAAACCCGTGGGGTACATTCTTACTGACTGTTATTGATGCACACCAACTGGTCGATCTTTTGGATGCCCCATGAACCCCTCCTTCTTCTAGCACCTACTACCTTTTGCCTTGGAGTTCCCCAGGACCTATTCCCTCCTCCTTCCCTGTGATTGGTCTCAGGCATACAATTGGCCTGTATTTTCTTAAATCAGATCTTATCTATTTTCTATCTTTTTTGAATCCTTCAATTATATTAAAATACGTATTATATGTTCATATATATTTCCAATCATTTATTTGTATACTGGATAGAAGCTGAGGCTACAGTATATGCTGGCATCTTCATCCAGTCTCTCTCATCTTCTTTCTTTTTTTTTTT